CGCTCTTTCGTTCATTTTCTTCCACCCGTTGGCCGTGTTTGCCGCTTTTTTCACCGCGTCTATCCTATCGCCGATCGAGCAGGGATTTCGTCGAAGCTTTCTCGCGACGACACGTCGGAACAATCGTCGCAAAGAGGAGGAGGAAGAGGACTCGGAGCGAAAACGCGGACATATGGCAGCCGTGCGCGATTCCATTCCGCTCGGCTCCACGGGAGAGCTCTGTTCCCGAAAATCGCTCGATCCTCTCGCTCGCGATTCGTCACCGTTCGCTCGCACGAATGCCCAGATAATTATCGCCTCGTGAAAGCGGCTTCGAAGACTGTCGATGCGAGATCTTTCCGAGTTTTCGACGAATTTTGAATCGCTTCGAAATTCCCGTCGAAGATGATCGCTCGCGACTTATAAAAAGAGGAAAATTTGATATTATGCGAAATAATACGGAATTAACTGGTTACGACTAATAAATAAAATAAATGAACACTCTGATACACGAATCAGCTTTCACGATACTCGCCAGTGAATTACAATCGAAAAAATAAAGAGGGCAAAACACGGAAACGCAGGTGTTTAACGCCGGAATCGAGTTTCCACTTAAGTCGAGCTCGTTCAGAGGGTGGAAGCGAATGAAATCGATCCACGGTTAGATTAATCTATGGAAATTGCGCCAGATGTCGTTCGTCGTGGTCCAATCGTAAACAGAGGAGTCCCGGCGAAAAAAAGAACCGAAAAGGAACGAATCCACGGGGAAAAATCAAACATCCATCGACGCGGGAGTCTACGTCGAACGATTTCGATCTCCCTACGGGGAGACGGGAACGTCCAGTGGTCTCCCTTCGATGGCTTGACCTCCCTTTGCAAAACAGGAAGAACGAAAAAAGGAATGTTACGCTGGGGTTGGAGAAGCAACAACGGGACAGAACATTGCAAAAAAGTCGGTCAACCGCAGATAGAGAGAAAGACGAATTGAGTCGTCGCTGTGCGTTTAGCAGAAAGAATAGAAAAAAAGGAGATGCGCTACGAGAGAAGAAAAAACGGGGATGTGTGGTGCATAGTTTTTCTTGATGGCGCTAGGATCATCCCTGTTGCTCGGTTCGAAAAAAGTCGAACCTGTATATCTATCTTTTTTTGCCGAAAAGAGGAAAAAATTATAGAAGCATTCGTCGATGAATATCAATTAACTTTTTAATCAGCTTCGACATCGTATAATTTTGACCTGACTCAAAATTCTCATTGTCGAAGAATGTGAGGAAAAACAAATTTTACTAAGATCGATATTCGAAGATGCAGAGATAAAGGTGAATTCATTAGCAGTTCCAAAATTTGCGCTCTTTTCATCGTTATTCGTTGGATCAACGAAACTGGAAGAATGACGTGCCCGATCGAAATACGTCAAGATTAGAAGAAAGCTAGATCGAAGAGAAACGGTGCGTCATTTTGCAGCCGGATGGATCCTAAGGTGTCGAAGAGAACAGAAGGCAGGCTTCTGTGACGATGCGTTTTCATCCCTGGCACGGATACACGAGGAAATTCGAATTGTCTACGGTTTCGAGCGTTCCTGTGGACCGGTTGCACAACTATTCGAAGCTGTTCGCTCGAAGGAAGCTGGAACCTTGAGAAAAATTCGAAATTTTACGGAGAAAATCGATTATAGATCGATGATCGAACCAATAAAAACATGTCGTAACGCCGTGGAATATAACGATACGAAAGCTTGCGTTCTACGTTGATATCCAGAGACGAGGTCAGAGTCTAAAAATCAAGAATAAGAAGAAGAAATTTTGATATAGAATTTAGTGGACGTCTGTCGGGCTACGTCAGCGGCTGCGGAATTAAATATTCAAGAACGAAGCGATATTTTTTGAAATTAATTGCGGTAGGTCATCGAGAATCTCATCGACGTTCGAGGAATCGTTTTTTTCCTCGTTTTCGTTTCGCAATTTGCTCGCGAAGGCGTCTAGATAATTCCTGCTCGTCTGTGAGATAACGGAACGACAGAGATCGTAAGACTTATTGAACATTTCGTGTGTTCGATCGAACTTTTGAGAAAAATCGCCCCTTTTACGATCGTATTAACCGCCCTTTACATTATGTCTGGATACCGAGAAAAATTGCGAAAAATCCGTGGAACGCGAGAGACGAGCATGACTCTCGTTAGATCCTCGTGGCATCGAAAAATCTCGTAAACGAGCCAGTGAATTGCACACTGGAAAAACTTAGACGCGACGAGAACATGTTGAGACGTCTAAAAACCGACAGACCCATTGAGAACGGGAGAGAAACAAAAGGCTGTGGATCTACGAAACAAGACGCAAGCTAGTAACATTCGTCATCGGTCCGTATTTAGCCGTGTCGTTGTTGTTGTTGTGCAATCAGGAATTTGAATAAAACAGATCGAAATTTATGACGATCGATCAAAGAAACCAGTCGATCGTTATGGTCGATAACGATTGATCGGACCAGTAAACGTTAACCAGTCTCGAAACGATAGACGATCTTTTTCGATGCGATTTAAAAAAATTTGTCGCTTCTTTCGGTGAAACGAAAGACGGTTAACGTTAACGCGTGGCCATACGGCGCGCTATGATATAACTCTGACCCTGGCAAACTTTGTTGGAATAAAGCAAACTATACCGTCGTAAAGTGCCAAAAGGGAGGAAGAGCAGCCGTCGCGGTTGCTTAATTAACCCCCTTTAACCCTTCCCAGCCTCTTTATTTAAGCGATATCAATTTAACCGCGAAGAGTCAATATTGACTCGAACTCTCTATTATCGTCCTTCGACGTCTGAAAGCAGGACCTCTGCCCACCATTTCACGGTCTCTACCCCTTTGGAAAGCCCTTTACACCCCTAGCTAGAGGAGTTACCGAAAAGAATAAAGGATTAAATTTCGTAATTTAAAGAAAATGGAAGGAAAAAGGTTTCCTCGCGAGAGCAGCTATCGACCTAATCAACGTCGTCTAACGGAGGCAACGAAAGCCAAAAAACGGGAGGGGTACGGGGGCAGGGGAGACGATATCGTCAGCACGAAATCCTTTCACCGGGTCTGTGTGCACATACGCGTCGAAAAAAAGAAAAAGAAGGAGCAGATTTTCAAGCAGCAACAGAAGAACCCTGCACCCGGACAAAATAGACGCTCCGTCTCGAGGCGAGGGTAAAAGAGGCGGCTAGTAGAGCAGGAGGGGAGTATCGACAGAGACGGTGATACTCGAGTAATCGGACAGAAAAACGAGAGAAAGAAAGAGAGAGAGAGTAGAGCATACGGTGAACGCGATATACCCGCTTAATTATCCCTCCCTTCGCCCCTCTTCTACACTAACGCTCAAAAGTATATGATCATACATCGAATTATATAAATTCCCTTTTCTCTTTTTAATTGACGTTTCATTGAAACATTAATTCTCAACTTCTATTATAATTCCTTCTTGTATCTGCCAAACGACGATAAGTTCCTATCGTTCCACGCGGATGACTTTCATTTTAATTTCAAATATAATTAGAGTCGTAACTATAACGCAAGGTACCGAATGCACTTTTCGATCGTTTAGGTTTATAAATTCGAAATGAAGAGATGTCGAGATCGTTTCGATAATTGATGAAAATGAGTTAAAGTTAATTTTAAGAAAAATTTGCTCAGCCTCCGAAACGCTATAAACGATGAGATACTTTTGAGCCGTAGTGTATACGCGTCTAGTCGAATGTCTCTCTCTTTTTGATCCTCTCCCTCTCCTCTCATTTCCCTCTATCTCTCTTTTTCGTAATAGCTAGTCAGAGCAAAGAAAAAGAGAGAAACGAGTGCTCGGTAGTGGGGGATCGAGCGTGTAGAGCGAGTAAGAAAAGACTCTAGTCAGAGAGAGAGAGCGCGTGGAGCGGCGGAGAGAGAGAGACGGAGAGAGTGACGGAGAGTACTTCGGTTTCTGTCGGTTCAGAGGGGTGGGGGTAGTACACGCTCCAGCCGCTCCAGCCGCTCCGAGGGCCGCTACGGCGGCGCAAAACATTCAGTCGGCAAAAAGTAGCCAAGGGGTGAACATCACCCTGAGCTACCGGAACCTATCCGTCGAGCGTGCCCGAGACTCGTCCTCCAAACAACGACCGCTATCAGCGATTTTCGCCTCCTAAACCGATGCACGATCGAGCTGTTAAAGTCTTGTTAAAAACCGTACAACCGTCCGTGTACGAACACTCGAACTCGTGGTTCCTCGTACGAGAAGACGAAGGAATTTTCGTCGTCGACGTAAACAGTGACAAGGAAGGAAGAACAACAAAAATCGTGCGTTGCCAATGAGACACTTGTTCGGACAAAGTGACAGTTTTTTAAATGACAGAGTGTTTTTCGGACAAAAAGAGAGACACGTCAGTGCGGTGTTCGAAGCCGAAAGTGTTTCTTTGTGGATTATGAGAACAGAAATCGAGTTGGAGCGACAAGGTCGCAGTTGAGTCTGGAAGATTGAAGGCTCAAGGTCGACACGATTGATCCTCGCGAAAGGATTGCGAGCCAAGGAACATTTATCGTCACGACGACGACCGCGAAGACAAGCGAGAACACCACGAGGCTGCTAACATCACGGCCTTGTCGCAAACGTACACCGAGAGGTGTACGGGTGATACCCGAACGGAAACACCGTGATGGAGGTGCGAGCGATGGAGTATCGCCCCGTGGTACCCACAGGGATGATACCAACCGGGTTGCAGGATTATCACGCGGCCATTCCCGATCTAAGCCCGCCGAGAAGCCAAGGTTCCTCCACCGGTGGCGCTTCCTCGATCGGAGACTACGCGCCCCGCATGTACACACCACCCACACCGCCCACCCCGCACGAAGACGAGAAGGTAACAAGGACCATATTTCCTTTCTTTCAAGGTTAACCCTCTCGTGTCGGACCTACCCTTAAGATTACTCTGAGTCTTCTTCTTATTTTTATTCTTTACGCGCTCTTTTAACCCTTCGGTACCCGTAATTAGACATAGTACCACTATTTAACGCTTGCAATGTGAAAAGTAGCCAAGGGGTGAACATCACCCTGAGCTACCGGAACCTATCCGTCGAGCGTGCCCGAGACTCGTCCTCCAAACAACGACCGCTATCAGCGATTTTCGCCTCCTAAACCGATGCACGATCGAGCTGTTAAAGTCTTGTTAAAAACCGTACAACCGTCCGTGTACGAACACTCGAACTCGTGGTTCCTCGTACGAGAAGACGAAGGAATTTTCGTCGTCGACGTAAACAGTGACAAGGAAGGAAGAACAACAAAAATCGTGCGTTGCCAATGAGACACTTGTTCGGACAAAGTGACAGTTTTTTAAATGACAGAGTGTTTTTCGGACAAAAAGAGAGACACGTCAGTGCGGTGTTCGAAGCCGAAAGTGTTTCTTTGTGGATTATGAGAACAGAAATCGAGTTGGAGCGACAAGGTCGCAGTTGAGTCTGGAAGATTGAAGGCTCAAGGTCGACACGATTGATCCTCGCGAAAGGATTGCGAGCCAAGGAACATTTATCGTCACGACGACGACCGCGAAGACAAGCGAGAACACCACGAGGCTGCTAACATCACGGCCTTGTCGCAAACGTACACCGAGAGGTGTACGGGTGATACCCGAACGGAAACACCGTGATGGAGGTGCGAGCGATGGAGTATCGCCCCGTGGTACCCACAGGGATGATACCAACCGGGTTGCAGGATTATCACGCGGCCATTCCCGATCTAAGCCCGCCGAGAAGCCAAGGTTCCTCCACCGGTGGCGCTTCCTCGATCGGAGACTACGCGCCCCGCATGTACACACCACCCACACCGCCCACCCCGCACGAAGACGAGAAGGTAACAAGGACCATATTTCCTTTCTTTCAAGGTTAACCCTCTCGTGTCGGACCTACCCTTAAGATTACTCTGAGTCTTCTTCTTATTTTTATTCTTTACGCGCTCTTTTAACCCTTCGGTACCCGTAATTAGACATAGTACCACTATTTAACGCTTGCAATGTGCGCTCAGATTCGAACAATTTATGACGACTTGGATATTTAAAAAATCTCAAGCTTAATTCTACTAATTACAAATATTAGAAATTGTATTTCAACTTGGACAAGTCGATATCGCAAATTTTATGAGTTTCGTGGAAATTTAGTTACGTTGTACTTTTTCCGTTAATTCGCTGATCGCATTTTTAATCCAAACTCACGATAATATGTGATTAAACAAGTTCTCGTACTGGCGCATATTTTGCGGGAACCTAATCCGATGGAAACGTCTTATTGCTAGTTCGCGGTCAAACAGCTAACAGTAACAGCTAACAGATTCAAACTTACCTGTTTCATTTAAATCGCGTTATTACCACGATGGCATTTTTTAATTTAATCTAACATATTTTTTACTTAAATTTTAATGCAATATTGTGGTTGGAATGCTATGAAATTTTGATGATAAGGTTGTAACAATGAGATCAGAGGACAACAATTTGGTTCGGTTTTATTTTTTGAAGTACTTTATGGTTTCGACCGGTCGAAGGTCCCAACTGCGATATAGTTTTTGTCTAGTCGAAAGTTGTGCCAGTCTTCTTTGAACAGTGTCCATAACTTAAACACGTGTTTCCCAGAACACGTCGAAGCCAATGACGTACTCTCGTCGAGATTCTAACGGATGTTGCATCGAGCCGAAATGTCTAACATCAAACATTTACTATTCAAAGTGGAGGAGAGGTACGTTGAAATTGTTTAACATAACTCGGGTCTTCTTAAATATCCTCGTGTCTCCGAAAACAGGAGATGATTAAACTCCGCACGAAACGAGATGAGAAATTGAAAAAAACGCGAAGACTGGTTAGAAAGAATCGAACAATCGAAGCTTCTCCCTGGTCTTTCGTTTCTCCGAAAATGGATTGAAAATTCAATCTTGCGGTCGACTGCAAAATTTCATTAGAACGCTCTTCGCTACTTTTCTCGAATGCTGTTCGCGATGAAACTCTTTCGCCTTGAGGGACAGATGCACTTCCTTCTCGTTACGGAACTTTCGATCCGAAATCGAGTTGCAACTTTTGAATTCGACTCGAATCCTCTTTGCACTCGCGCACCGACGGCGCAACGCGTCTCGACTCCCGTCTGCCTCGATATTTCCCGCCCAAACGGATCTCATTCGACTCTCGATATTACTCGAACCGGGAGAAACCTTCGAACATCCGATTGTCCTCTTAAATTCGTCGGGCGTTATCCATCGATCTCGTTAAAGAGTCTTTGAAAAATCTCCGTCGTCTTATTTCAAACGCGTCGAATTGAATGCAAGAAAGAAAATATTGTCGGTGTACGATGTCGCGTCGACTCCTCGCCATCTTCTCACGAAGGATCTCGCATAAGGGATCCCGAAGGATCAGACGATCCACTGACCCCGTCTTAAAGGCGCATTCATGGAGCGCAATTTTCCAGAAGTGGACGACAATAAAATTCTGTCACAATAAAGGCACCGGGACACGCAAGAAAAATAATCGGGGATCCTAGAAATAAACGATACAATCGAACCTCGATCGTCTTTCTTTTCTCTATCGTCGTCGCGTTCTTTATTTGTCCAATCTTTTTCCATTTTTATTATACTTATTTATTACCAATACCTCTACGTGATATATCGTCACGGAAGGCAATTAGAAAAATTTGTCGTTAACTACCCTTTGCGATATAACACCAGTGGATTAATAATAAAGTTATTCGGTAATCCCCCAAAATAGTGAAGCGTCGAATTAAAGTCCTACTTCGTAACAATTTTCCTCCAATTTCCTGTTTTTAAGCTAGCATTTCCTCCGCCCTCGAGAATCTCGGCCACTGTCCCTGTTATTTGAAACAGCGGGTGAATTTGGAACGTCTTCGGCATGGGACGAGGGTGTCGACGACGGTAGAAAGCAACGGGGGTGGTATTCTTCTGGTCGTCTGGCGAGTAATTCTATTTGTGCGTCACCGGGACCAAGATTCCGAAACTTGACCTGTTAAAAAGTCCTTCAGCTTGAATCTCGTGTTCCAAAATAGTGGAGAAAGAGAGAATGAATATGTAACGGGAGATAAATTTTAGGAAATGCTTCTTATTTGTCATCAAAAGCTTGAATATTAAGAACGACGTCCTTTAAGCTGAATCGATCGATGCAATTTAAAGAGTTGCCTTTTTTCTTGAGTGTTTCTTGAATTTCATTCAGTAATTGAAATTCGCTTATTATAATATTGAAATTGGCTGATCTTCTATTCGTTTCACGGGCCATTAAATAGCGAGATTTTTTCCATTCCCGTTGCCTTGCGCAGATAGATATCTGCACTCGTTTTCTTATTTCTTTAGTTATGTAAATAGTATACATTCTTTTGTACGTTAAAGGGTAATTAATATTCACCATGAATTATTAAAAATTAGACTCCGAGGGTCATCAAATAGATTAACAGATCCAGTATTACAAAACCGAACTCGTTCTATTTATACAAATTCTTTCGTTTTTAATGTTAATTGGATCAGAATAGTTTTACCGTCGATCTTTTGTCCAACAATTTTTTTAATCGTTTCGATTAACATTAAGCAGGTTTTTTCGGTAAAATTTAAACGATAACGCGTTAAATAAATTAAAATTATTTATTGTCAGACTCTTTCGGATATTTTAATTTCGAAGAGGCATAATGGCACTGCAAGGATTTCGAATTGATTGAGTTGTTCCGTCTCAAGTTCGATTTCGAGGATAGAAGATAATAGGATTACGAAAACTTTATGGTAAAGAATAAAGACGAACAAAATGACGTAAAGGAGAAGACGGAATAATTGCTTCATAAATTTAGCGGCTATAAATAAATAAATCCAACATCCTACGATCTTTGATCTTTTCACAAGCTCGAACTTTGCTCGAACATTCTTAATGATTTACGATTTTTTGATCTTGCAGAATTAATTTTTTTCTCGCTCTTTTTATTACGAATGCATTAGTTTCTGAAATTCGTGGAACATTGTCTTGGACTTATTAAAGATAAACAGTATCTGAAAATAATTCCAAGGTGTTTCGGTCTGTAAGCCGTTCCCCAAAATAAAAAAGTTTAATTTAAAATTCTTTTTTTTATACGGTTGCATTCAAAACACAATTTTGATCAGGAGTGCATAAAATTTATTCGTTTCACTACAAGTCTCACCACAATGAATATTCCATTACGAATGAAATTTTTACTAAAATTTTGAAAACATTCACAAATCTTGCCTTTGAGTTCCAGCAGAGAAATAATTAAAATATTAATTGATCTATCCATAATTACGTCTGACAATAAATATTTAAACGAGCCGACATTTGCGGCGTTCGATTAATTTTCCAGTCTCGTAATCGCGAGTTATAATCTTCGATCATGTGTAATACGAATTATTAAGATCAATGGAGAAGGATAGGAACAAACAGGAGAAGGAAAGCAGCAAGCACGGAAAGACACCATTAATTCTAGAGTTTGTCGTAGCGCGATATCGTTCGGTGTTGAACGAGGCAAAAAAAAACCATGAAAGAAGTCCAAAAGTTATTCAATCTGTGCCGAGCAAATGGAAAAAGTTCCTTGACCGTCGGAACGTGAAATTTTTCCGAAATGCGAAAAAAATCATATACCCCCGAGTAATCTTATAACCTTAACCTGTTGAAAAAGCGCCATATTTTTTCAATATTTATTTCTGTATGACAAGGACACTTTTTACGCGTGGTAATGCAACGCGTGACGGAACGATGCATAGTAATTTAATGTACAGCGATGCAGCGCGTAGAGACCTAACACGTGGCGATACAACGTGTGGCTCTCCAAAAGTACTGGAACTTTTCCGACACCCTGTATAACCAGGCTACTTACTTTCGAAACACCCTGTACACAGGGTGTAACGATGTAAAAGAATCCGGCCCTCTGACGAAACTCGAGGCGGTCCTTTGCCTTGGCTTTCATTAAGGTATCGTTAGTACCGCTGTTCTCATCAGCATCCTCATCCTGCGTCATTCTCTTCTTCTTCTTCTTCACGCCCTCACCACCCTTTCGTTTCACCCTCTGTCTATGTACTTCCTTTTTTACCATTCTATCGCCCTAAAAATCCTGACAGAATGTACAAGTCCTTTGCCATCATTCTTATGCAACTTTATCTCTGCGGTGTGGTACGGATCCGTTTTTTTACCTTTTGGTTTTTTGACTTGGCTTTGGACATTTTCTGGCTTTTTGCCTTTGCGGTGATTCTTGAAGATGGTGGAAATTTGGTCCTTTGAGCTCTTTTTTACCTTTTGACTCTTGTTAAAAATCTTTGAACGTATCATGTTTATTATACTTGTATTTTGTTTAATTTAAATTGGATAATGTATCTGTTTCTAAAACATTACCAATGATAATTTACCCTGTCGTAAGATAATATTTGAGGGATCCAGTTTCCAAACCGGATAATTAAAAATCGCCAACACGGAAGATACCAATTTCTATTTTCATCAGGTATTCTTTGCACTTACATTTTCTCTTTTCCCCGAAAGCACGATTTTCTCCAGTCTTGCACGTTTACCCACCCCTTTCGATAGAACAGTAGGAATATTCGCACGAATTTACTCCTCCTGTTTCAATCTGTCTAACGCGATTCTCGACAGGTTTTTCCTCTTTTTTCACTGAATTTCCGTCCCCTTCTCTCTGCCTCGCGTTCTGTATCCTCGTGCTTTTCATTCCTTTTTGTCCCGTTCCTCGCGATCTCCTTTCACCATTTACGCACGTGCCGTTCACCTGCCGTCGCGTTCGATTCCATCGAGTTCTTTCGTTAAACAATTCTCTTCTCTCCCTTCGTTTTAAAAAGCGTCGAGACTCGTCTCATTTTGCTCG